CCTATTTTTATCACCCTGGACTATTAATGTTATTGGAGATGTGGATTAACCATCAGGTACAAAGATGCTTTACAAAGCCCTATTACTTTGAGTTGTCTTGCTCTCACACGCATACATGTGTTTACGCACTTTCTCTCTGTCTCACTCACACACATGCTTGTGTAAAGAGAAGGCGACCTGGGAGTACGGTCAGGATTCAGAGAGCAGAAACAAGCCTTTAACAGATTATCCAGTGTGACTTGCTTTCTTTTGTCGTCACACGAGAACCAAAGATGGTCTCGCTGTTTCTCATCAGCATGAGCAGAGATAACAGAGCGGTAACGTTTGTGTCTCGTTTTCTTCAGCAGCAGTAAAATCTTAAGAAAAACCTTCATGTTGTCTTCTGCCTCTGCCGCTGAGCGGTGGATTAGACCCGGTTTTACGTTGCATTACCACCCTCTACTGTTCGTCTGGCCTAGATGTTTGGGGGGAGACCCTTCATGTCAAGAGTCATGTGCTGACATGCAGGGGAGGTGCTGAACTGTCATTTCCCAGGCCAGAATCGTCTGTTCAGATGCAATTATACTACATGCGAGCACATAATCAGGAGAGAATGGGTCAAAGTTCAAGTCGCATGACACTGAGGAGTTTTGGGCACCGAACAATATGGAGGATATTTGTGAGCAACAGATATTTTGCAGCGCCACAGTTTGTTTTTATTTGTTTGTTTTTTTTTAAACTATTATTACATGTAATTGAAGCTTCAATAGAATCACCGAAACTGATAAAATAAAATACATTTACAGTTACACTGATAGCATTTTTTTTTTTCATTTTATTCTCTCATGTAAAGTGACTAAAAGAGGTGGTTTGTGATTGAGGCATCAAACGGTGGTGTAATAGTAATACACATTGCAAATACAGTGGAGTGTTTGCCCTTTCTATATATATATATATATATGTGTGTGTGTGTGTGTGTTTATTGGTTGATTTTAGTGAAAATTAAAACAAGATATTAATGCTTTTTAAATAATCTGTAAAGCTGCTGTGTGTAACTTTTATAAAAAAATGTTTGTTTTTTTACATATTTCTTTAAACTGTCATTATGTTATGACAGATAATCTGTGAAAAAGTCAAGTTGTGCAGAAATGCACCGCTCCCGCTCAGAAACGACCGACCAACGAGAGCCAGGAGGAGGGTCTTAGTGCTGTCAATCAACCTCATGTATGAACTGTGTGTATGAAATGTGCTAATGGCAGAGGAACAACTTACTGTAACAGTAACAACTGTTTATCTGTGTCATCAGTGGCCATGCTAACTAGCCTTAGCATTCATGGCAGACTCCATTGTGAGGGAATAAATGTAAGGGGGATGAAGTGAGCAGCACATAAACAAACATGATTGATAGCGCTAAGACCCTAGTAGCATCTTAGCACTAAAACAAACATGATATCAATCATGTTTGTTTATGCGATGCTCACTTCATCCCCTTGCTTTGATTGGTTGTTTCTGACCGGAGGAGGCAGAGAAACTTCATTTATTTTTATTTTGTTTTTTGTTTGTTTTCAGTCTTATTTGTCTTATATTGTCGCTCTCACATAGTGACAGTTTTCACAAATATGTAAAAAAAAAACGCATTTCCCATAAAAGTCACATTAAAGGTAACTACATCCTTTAAGGGTATTGAACTGTTTTCTGTTTGTTCTGTTCTTATCCAGCTTTCTTCTGTCATATATAACTATAGTAGATGAGTCAAATAAAAAAAAAAAGCAGCACATTTTTGGTTTCAGTGTGTACATTTTGTTTTACTTAATGCCTCACTGCAGCTGCTACAAAAAATACTGCTGCTGTCATATGAGCTGTTTCCAAGAGCCAGTATTTCCAGATCCTAAAAACACCTTTGTAAGCTATTAGTAACTCAGTTCAGATCCGTTAAACCGCATTGTCCCTGAAAGGCAGTTTGCTGGCCACTCAACAGGTACAAAAAGTAACAACAACCTCGTCAACAACAATCTTTCAGCTCAGAAAAGGAGGCTGAGTGAAGTCCTCGCCATGCTGCACTTTATCAGTCTGACAGCAGCGGCAATGAAAGATTTCCTCAGTCTGTCGGTTTTACGGAGTTTAATCCTGTATCTCTGTCTTGATGGCAAAAGTTGAAACTCAGCCCATAGTGGGTGGCAGGGATTGGCTGTAATAATCTCAGCTTTCTTTAACAATCTATTATTATAGAGGTCAGGAGGGATGCCAGGGGTTTACTGCATTCTTTAACTTTGCAAGCAGATGAGAGGTCAGGTGGAATAGTGAAAAAAAATAAAAAATTAGCCTGCTTATAGATCTGTTCTGTTATTGATCAGCAGATTTTAACATCAGACACAGATAACACGAGTAGACACAAAACTACATATTACAAGTTTCATTTGTTTTATTTATTTAAAAATGTAGCTTGCCCTATTTGAGAAACTAATCCTATCCTAAACATGAGAAATGCCAAGCTTTTCAGCAACATCTGACATTAAGGGCTTTCGGTAAATTAAAATGATTCTGTGGAGGGTCTTATTTCTTTGCAGAATGATATTGAAGGTTTTTTGAGTGCAAATGTAACAGGTAATGGCCTAGTCAAAGTCCAATGCCAAGTTCTAAAGTTGTATTTTTTGTTCTTTTTTGTTTTGTCTTTAAATAATTCAGAGGTGGGCTTGCCCTGTTTTGGATCATTGCTCTGCTACATAAACCAAGTGTGTTTGATCTAAAGACTGATGTCAGACATTCTTCTTTAGGATTTTCAGGTCGAAAGTGAATTTCTTGCTCCCATCTGTTGTAGAGCAGAGCAGCAAACCAAACCTCCACCATGTTTGACTGTAGGTATGATGCTCTGTTGCTGAAATGGTAGATGTAATAAAAACAGAAACCTTAAAAAAAAAAGTTCCAGTTTTGACCCATCACTCTAAAGAATATTGTTGTGTGCATGCATGCGTTCAGCACTAGCGGGAGAAATTGCTTTTGGTCTTTTGCCAAAGACAAAGGGAAACCCTGCAATGGCTAACGTTGAAAGCCACTCCAATTTTAGTTACATTTGGTGGAGAAGGAAGTTGTGCTCAGAGTCTTCTTCTGAGGTTTCCATGTTGTTTCATTCAGCGGTTCATGATGCGGCGCCACCACAGGTGAGCGGGCTAACTGGTCGCTCAAAGGGTTTGGTACGTTTGAACCACAGCAGCTGAAAATAAAACAAAAAAATGTTTTGCAACTTTGGTCTCCAATAAAAAAAAAATCAAATCTCTCAGGTATGGAAACACCCTTAGCCTACTTCATGTTGTCAGACAGGTTCCACTTGAGTTTGTTTTCCAAATCTACAGGATTCGGTTTGACGGTAAGAACCATCCCAAAAATGTAGCTTTAATCAAAGTTGATTCATTCTAGGGCCTCGTTAGTTTGGATCGCAAACAAATGAGAACTCAGTTTAGTATTTACTGTTCTGATGATCTGAAAAGCTCAAGTGACAGGAAGTAAGTAAAGTAATCTTTAGCAGCACCGCAGAACTTACGAAATGATACTCAGAACCTGCGTTTGTGGGTTTGGAGACACGGATAGTGAAGGGAATCCTGGAGTTGTAAATGGACACCATTACATCGGGGGACAAAAAATGCTGCGTAAAAGCAAACATCTGCTGTGTATTTACAGCAAATAACCCAAATGTAGATGAGCTTTGCTCTTGGTGAACCACAGAGCTGCTAGACTGACGCCACGATGTGAAGTTTTCCATGTCTTGTGACAAAACTCCTTTCTGAGGACAAATGAGAAGATGAAATTTAAAATGTCACTTTGGTTCATGTCTTGACACTATTTACCACTTCAGTACTGTGTGTGAGTGTGTGTGTGAGTGTGTGTGTATGCTGTCACACCACGCTTTAAAGAGTTTTTTTTTTTAATGGGGAAGAGGAATATTTGGACATTTTATCAATAGGCATTATTAAATCCTGCTTGCTTGAGCTAATCTTGGCGGACCGGAGCGAGGGCACCGGGAGAGTTAGTGAAAGAGTGAATAGGAGAGAAGGAGAGAGCAGGGATGTCTGCCCCATGAGGTGATGAGAGACCGTCTGTAAGCCGCTTATTATATCGACTACCACCTTTTCTTTCTCCTCCACCAGCCTCTCCCTCGTTCTCTCCCCCTTTACCTCGCTCATTTTCCTCTGTTTCCTTCGCTTGCCTTTTTGCTTTATCCAACTTATTCTATATCCTCTCAGTCTTTCTCCTTTTTCAAAAACTTAACTGTGCAAACACACACACGCCCACGCACGCACCCACACATACACACACACAGAGAGAGAGAGAATCGCGGGCGCACACACTTTTACGCGGCAGGCAGGGCCAAGGCGAACCTTCTTGTTCAAAGCCAGAAGCTGAAGTTTTATTCAAATGAATGTTTACTTCTTTCGCTGCCAAGATGTGCGTATTTGTCTCCGGTTGTGCATGTGTGTGCAATAAAAAGTGAGGGAGAAATAGTTTGGATTGAGTGTGTGCGGGCGCGCGCGCTCGTTTCAGTGTGTGTTACACGCACGGCAGAAGGAGAAGGGCTGACTGTAGGTGATAAGCCAGGCAGGCCTGCACACTGTGATTATCACACACTGGACGCCCTGTCTCACACACACACACACACGCGCTCACTCCTACACACTTGCATACACAATGGCCAACGAGGGAGTGTGTTGCAGGGATTTAGGAGGGACGGACGGAGAGACAGACGAGCAGACAGAGAAAGAAGCCTTGGATCACAGGCAAGGTGGAAGCCACAACAGAAGCAAATGAACACAGACTGGGAAAATCACAATGCCTCCCTTTATGTTGGACGGAGCGGCCATTGTGTTTTCCTGGGTGTTATATCAATGCCGATGTGCTGTGATGTCGCGACACACGGGGATCCAAGTGTGTGTCTTCACACCAGAGATGCTTCGTTTGTGTCGCGGGGATATGACATCTGTCGGGCATTTTAATTGACTGATTTCCTTTTCCCGCTGTCTTTGATGCAGGTGTGTGGCCTTCTGAGGAGGTGATGGCACATTACTGTCTGCAGAAGCGGCACTCGTTCAAGTGAGTTTTCACTGTTTTGTTTTGTTTTGTGTTTTTTCTCTCTCTCTTTTTTTTTTTCTGCTGACGTTTTCATGTTTCAGCGGTTCAAAGTCATTGTCTGAGATGCGGGAGAAAGTGGCCACAGTTCTCTCTCTGGCCTGTTTTTAAAGCTTTAGGAGTTACAAAGTGTTACCCCACCCCCACCTGTTGCCCGTGGGGAAGGCTGCTACACACTTTGCCCTTGGTTACAAGTGACACACATTTTGCTGTTTGGAAATATTTTCACATGCGAAATAATAAATGAACCTGCAGACTATGAAAAGTAAACCAATTAAACCCGCATTTCATAACTTTTAGTTGTTTTTCCTAAATATTTTGTTAAAACTGTGACAGTTTTAACAAAGTGTTAAAAATGAAGCTCCTCTGCATCCGCTCTGTGGTCCTGCTGCCATCTCCAAAAATCCACCGCTTAGTCAGAAACCGCCAGTCAGAGCCAAGAGGAGGGGCTTAGTGTTGTCAATCAAGCTTGTGCACACACTGCTCATGATTGCTAGTTTGCTCTAGCCATGGTAATGTTGAAAAACAAAACAAAACAAGAAATTACTGTTAAAGAAAAACTGTTTATCCACTGTCAGTGGTGGTCATGCTAACTAGCCTGTGCACAGTCTGACGTGGGGAAGCAACAGACCTGGCAACCCGTATACTGAGGCGATTAGTCCTGAATGCAGCCATTAGATTTTGAGACTCTTGCTGCAGGTTTTCCCATCTTCCGTTTCTCAGCGTGTCCTGACTGGTTCCCATGAATAAAGGCGACTATTGTGACACATTTTTTTTTTTATTTATTTATGTTTTTAAACAGATTCAACAATCACTAATGTAAGTCCATCAATTACACTAGTTTTCTCTGGCTGTGCTGCCTCTCCCCCAGCCATCACTGTGGACTGGTGGTCAGCTGGCTGAAGGCTTATTTACAAAAGAAACCCATTTACCCATTTGGACACATTTCTAGTCACTAATAGCTAAACCTACAGACTATAAAGAAACGTGAAAAGGTTTTTTGCCTTTCTTTCCAATTCATTAATTCCATGTTTTTATTTATTTATTCTTAAAGAAGTGAAGATACTCACATTATAACTGTGGCATTCTGCATAATATTGTTGCATCCTGAATGATTGGAAGAGTTGATAGGACTCTGTGGTTCTGGACCAAAGTGGTTCAGGTTTTATGTGAAAGGTCAGAACTGCTTTGTGTCACTTGGTCAACATAAACCCATGTTGGGTTCCTGAAGGCTCTGTTCTCGGGCCACTTCTCAATTCACGGACTATTCCTGTCAGGTACTGCAAAGTACAAACGCTTTGTATTTATCTGCTTGCTTCTTTTAAATCATGAGTATAAATATTACTGTCTCCTGCAGTCTTCCCCAAAATATTACTTTATTCACATTGCACCTTGTCTTTTTATCTGCTTAAATTGGCCTTTTTTAAGGTTATTTTTCTTTTAATTTGAATTTTCTTTTGCTTCAATGTGTCTTATCTCTGTTTCTCTGTTTTTCTGCACAGAAACTTTGAATTTCACTTTGTGTGAAAGGAGCAACACCAACATTTTCTCTGCATTGTCTTTAGCAGTACAAACAACTGTGCTGCTAAACAATCATGTTTTGCATTCTTCTGCTACAAAACCATAATGTTATCATAATACGAGAATCTCACACCTACTCAGAAGATGCTTGCTCATGAAGATTCTCTATAAATTGTAGGGTAAAACAAACAAACAAACAAACAAAAAAAACGCTGCTTTTTATCTTTCGCAAACATTTACCACTTTGACACCGGAGCATTTTTTTTTCTCTTCCTTTTCTGCGCCTTCTGCTCTTTTCCCCGTCTTGTTGTCTGCCGTGCATCAGGGCTGCCCTGTGGCACACGGCTGAAAAGCACCCGGGCACTTTTGATTTCCACTCAAGGTGGAACGTCACCCTTTGATTTCCTGTTTTAACATTCAAGAGGCGGGAGGCGAGGAGGAGAGGGGTTATTGATCAGAGCGGTGTAGTGAAGGTCAGCAGGAAAGAGAGGAGGAAAGGAGGGATGGAGCGGGTGGTGGGGGGGGGATGAAAGAGGACAGGGGCAGAGATGGAGGGGCTGGGGAGATGAAAGGAGGAGGAGGATGAGGAGAGGGGTTGAGTGAGCAGACAAGCTGCAGGACTTTGTGTGTGTGAGTGTGTGTGTGTGTGTGTGTGTCTATGTTGCTCCTCAGATATCCTGCTGATTGAGCTTGCGCTTCTCAGTGTTCAGCATTCAGCTTTCAAGTTGATGGTTGAATTGATATTTCTTACCCCGCTGTGTTTAGTGTTTGTGTATCTGCCCGGGCTCGTAGCGTAGCGCGTCGGAGTGTCTCTCCATATCTGCTCAGATCTACTGTACAGCACGTGTGTGTTAGTACTAAACTGCTGTTTTCTTTTCATTTTTTTTTTGCCTCACTAAAGTAAATCTCACCCCGACTCGCCTCTCTTTCTCCTCCTCTCTGTCTCCCAGGGGTGCAGTGTGTGAGTTAGGAGGAGGTATGACTTGCCTTGGTGGGCTCATGGTAAGTGAGACACACACGCACACGCACGCACAAAAGCAGCAGACTTCTGCAAGGAAAAGTGTCTCGGCTTCTCTAATAAAACTAATCATCGCCAATCAATATACGCACAGCATGAGCACGCAGTGCCCTTATCTATTCAGGCTCCGTCATTCACTCCCTGCGCGCTGGAATGCGAGTTTAGATTTGCGAGCCTTCAGGGGGAATTTGCATGCAAACACTTTACTCACAGCAGTTTAATAAAGCGACTCATTTGTGTTCAGGGTTTACCGCCAGATTCACTGAGCAGATTATGCCTGAGTGTTTCTCCTGATTGGTTGGTTTTGTTTTTTTTTTTCCCCCTGGAGTCTGCGTCGAGAACAGTTAGTCGTTTCTAACATTAAATGGCTTAAAAGAGAAAAGTGTGCTGGAAAGAATTTGTGTTTAGAAGAAGAAGAAAAAATGACTTTCTAAAGTGCCACATCAAAAGTGTGTAAAAAAAAAAAAAAAATCCTGTTTGCAATAAATGCAGCCAGAGTCTTCCTGTCCAGCTACAGTGGGAGGTTTTCCAGCAGTGTTGAGGAAATATTAGGACAGCCCACTCAATATTGAGAAATGTTCAGATTTTATATATCAATAAAGCTTGTTTTAATTGTTAAACATAAGATATAAACTTAAACTACGTTATCTAACTGGAAAAGGTTTGGACACCTTACCTCTGTATATGTAACCAAGGTTATCCACCTTGGTTACATATCATCAGTCTGAGGCAGGTTTGCCCCTCTCCTCTCTGCACCTCTGATCTATTTGAGGTGTTTCTTGCTTGTTCAGCCTGTATTAAGTCACATAAAGATCAAGATCTGGGATTTGTCCTAAAAGTTCCAGTTCAGCTTCAGCTTGAAGATTTTTTTTTTTTTTTTTACAGCTTCTTTGACATTTCAATACACAGTAGAAGAATTGGTTCTGATACTGCAAAGCATCCCCAAACCATGACACTTCCACCTCCATGTTTCACAATTAATGTTAGGTAGTGTTTTTTTGTTGGTTTGTTTATTTTTAGCTGCGTTGTCCTTTGCTCTGATGGCCAAATAATTTGTTCTTACACTCATTTGTCCAAGGAAAACTAGTCTAGAAACTTTAGTCTGTCCTTAAAGAGCAGTGGGTTCTTCCCAGCCTCTTTTTGATTGTACATTTCACACACTTTCATGTATTAACAACAGCAAGAACCTGCTTGCAATGACAGTTAAGTTTTCGGGAACTACTTTTAGCATCAGACCTGAGCTCATTGCCAGTCGTTTTGTCCGCTTGGGGACTGTCTGATTTTTAATTTTTTAAAATCCCCCTTAAATCTCACAGACCCAGAGCTGCCACAATCTTGTTTCTTAGAGGTTTTAGACGCTATTTCAATCTTCACACTCGCTTTAACAGAGGAGAACCAAACTAGTTGTCTGAGTGATGAAGTTGTCATTTATTCCACTCCAAAATGAGCATTTTCTTTTATTTTACAAAACAAATTAAAGATATTTTTTAAATTGTTGATTTACATCACTTGAATTGTGTGTTTAAAAATGTCCTAGGGTGTCTTAATCTATTTTATGTCTGCAGATAAAGATTCCTGTGATTGACAAAATTATTTAGCATAAAATGTAATCAAAAATATGCAAACAAGCATCCGCTTTGTCACAAAAGTAGTGAAACTTCAATAAGCCGTCGAGTATTTGGATGCCTAATACACTCCTCCACACACATGTGGAGACACCCTGCAGTCTGTCAGCTATAGGGCTTATTAGTCAGAGTCTTCTGGGGCCCTCCATATAGCAGGCTTCAGTGTCCCATCGATCTGTTAGATGCCAATGAGTGTGTGTGTGTGTGTGTGTGTGTGTGTGTAAAACGCTGAGTTTTATCTCCTAGCGGTCAATACACCGTGTTTTGACATTGGTGGTCTGAGATGGGATCCTTCCTTCACACCTCTTCCCTCCTTCATCCGTCACTGACACCACTCTCCCCGCATTTTCTTGTTTTGTTTTTTTTGTTTGTTTTTTTTGTGAAGGTATGATGCTAAATATTGTTGAGTGTTTGACCATTAATTCTCAGTAAAAATCAGCATGAAGATGTGATGAAACTATCGTTTTCTGAAAGTCGGAGGGTCAACCCACTAAACGCTTTTTTGAGCATTCTTAAACACGTTGTTGCCTTTCCAATGCACTTCTCATCTCTGAAAAAAAATTTATGAATCCAGATTTTTTTAAAATTGTGGGTTTCTCAAGAGATTAGCAGTGGTTAATATAATTTCTGCAGACTTTAGTTTGAATCATCCTGGTGCAATCTGAGTCTGAATGGATTTTTGTTTATATAAAACAACTCAAACTGTTGAAATAAGTGCTAATTTATGGATGTATTATTTAATTTTTTTGACTTCCCAAAAAAAAGGGCATTGTTCTTTGAATTAATTGACTTAATCTTTAATTTATTTCCATTTGGTCTGAAACTGAAACCCGTAAAACTGACACGTCGACTCTTAGAGCCGGACTGTTTTCGCGTCGTGTCGACATTAGGAATGATTACTTAATGTTCGTAGAAATATTTGCTGTTGCTTTACATAATCGGCTTGGCAGATTATTTGTGTTTGGTTAGTAAAGTCATTATTCTCACAGATTTGTGACCGCTTACTAGCTGAGCGTGCAGATTGATGCTCCTGTGTCGACCAGCTGGACTCCCGTTCCTTCAGCTGTGTGCTCTGGTGGAGCCTGAAGGTGTCGTCCCGTTATTTCAGCAGATGGCGGGCAGCCCAGCACCTCACTCAGTGACCCCCTTCAAACGCCCCTCAGGGTTTCAACATGTGTGTCTGTATGTTCACTTCTGCAGACAAATGCATGCATGATGGTTCCAGAGCAGGTTGTGCCGTTTTATTTATACTGATTTCGCCCATCCAGATGTGGAGACAGGATGTATCGCAGTAACACAATCTCAAACTGAATTTTTATTTATTTATTGATTTTTTTTTAAAGAAATCTAACTTTCTTTTCAGCATTCAATAAGGGGGGAAAGTAAGGTTTTTTAAGAAAACCAGTGTTGGCACAGCTTGCAATGTGTGAATAAAATAAATTATATTAGACTAATATAATGCTTTATTAGGGCACTCAAAGATGCCTTTCAAAGAAATCAGTCATTTCCAGGCAGGCCGAAGGTGACAAGCTGCAGAACTGTTGCGCGTGGCATCATGGCCTCTTTAGGATGACAAGTTGCTCAAAATAAAAATCTGTTCACTTTTAGCTAGAAAGCTGAAAATTGGATATCCATGAGTTGCAGAAATGGTTTATCAAACACAAAAATCCTTTTTTTTTTTTCCTCACAACCGTCACAGTTCCCAAACCTAAACCCAGTGGAGGGCCTGTAGGGTGAGCTGCAGAGAGCGTTAGGAGACCTCAGGACTGACTCTGACTCTAAGGTCATAATGGCCGGTTATGTAATACCTGCCAGTGACTCATTCATTTTGGCTAATCAGGCAATAAAATGCCAATAATCAGTTGACGAATTTGACCCAATAACCCAGTTGACTTCATTTAAATAATTTTTTTTTTATTAGATTTTAGTGTAGCATTGAAAATAAAAGACAATATGTGGAGCTGGTGCAATATTATTAGGGCTAGTTTTATTGCAGTTTTTATGCAGTCTTGTGGGCGTGGCAAGGTGGCGCCTTTGTGTGGCTTCGCCAATGTTTTAGCCGCCTGTCTCTTTTTTAGCCGTCTTATTAAAACTATACGAGTTTTAATAAGAAACTTATCTTATTTTGTGAGCAGACTTATACAGTTTGCTCAGAAAAACTAAGCATTGTTTTTCTGAGCAGACTGCTTATTAAAACTAGCCAGCTAGTTAGTTAGCCATCTACTTGTTAGCTAGCAGATAGCATTAATACTGTGGAGCACATTCTTCTGACTTGTGGTTGTAAGACCCACTTCTATAAGGATTTTGTCAACTAAATCTTTATTAATAGTACTTTTCATTAGGTTAGATATGTAGTAATTTCATGTATGGGAAAGAGCTGTTAGCTAGATCATTTTAGCAGGATGTGCTAAAATTGAGAATTAGTGTTACACGGCTATTGGCAAAATGTTATGGCTCTAGCTAAAAAAAAAAATACAGTTATATCATCAAGTTATCATGCCATTATTGCATCCAGAAGGTCTTGTGCAGAGTATAGTCAAAGTCAAAGATTGCTCTCTGGAGAAATTCTTGGTTTCCTAAATATTGCCAAACGGGGTTCAGTACAATAATGGCAGCAGAGACACTGATAATTTCACCACTGATGATTTTTATAAACAATAATCTCTTAAAGAGGGAGGGGATTTCTGTGTTTTCTAAGGGTAAGATAATGTTACTGCAAAACAAGAGGAATTTCTTTTAAGCCATTTTGCACGTCTTAACAGAGGTGCCGACAAATTTGACCCACTTGGAGATGCAGGCGCCCTCTTTAACAAAAGCCAACAGCCTGACATACGCTTGCTGATACAGGAAAAAGGCATTTGTAAAGAAAAAGACCGTCAAAAAGCCGAGAGTCTACACCGGAGCGCACACCTCACCCCCCTCCCTATCTACATCTCCCTCGCACACGTCGAAACGCGGCAGCTCTCCATTCTCTCGTCGTCGTTTCGCAGTATACGCTCCGCAAAGTTATATGAAGGGCATCAGGCAGGCCCGGCGAGCCGAGTGCAGAGTGACAGCGGCGAACGGAGTGATGGCTCGGCCTGATAAACACCCAGCGTCAAATGAAAAGGCTTTGCGCTTGCCATCATCCCCTGTCACAATGCAATTACCGAACAGAGTGATAGCAAGATAGCAGGCCCCCACCGCTAGCCACAATGATAAAAGTATTGACTGATTTGATTGAATGATTAAAATAATGCAGACATAAAAATGGGGTGAAGATAGAGAGAGGGGAAAATGGCAGGGAGAGACGGAGAGACGGAGGGCGGCGTGGGCCGGGCTGCCAAGGAGCGAGGCTTTTGTAGATACGGTTATGTCATTATTGTGTGCGTGCGTTCAGATGTTTGCTTCATCTGAGGCTGCTGTTTTTTATTTTATTTTTTTATTTTTGGGCGGTTTGTTCTTTTGTTCCGTGTTGTTTAATTTCTCCGTCTCTTTCCTGTCTCTCCTCCGGCTCTCAGGTTGCCATTTCTGCTGACGTGAAGGAAGTCCTGCTATCAGATGGGAATGAGAAGTCCATTCAGAGTATCCTTTCATCGTCCTCTCCTCTCTCTCTCCGTCTCTCCATCGCTGCCGTAGCTCCATTAGCTCACAGCGATTCATGTGCGATCGTACAATTTTTGTTCCAGCGGAAAAAAATAAAAAACAAACCCTTTGCTTTTCTTTTGTCCCTCAGTGAGATAGTTAGGCGTTTGATTGTGTGTCCTTTAGATGGAAATCTATGGTGCAGGAATGTTTTTTTTTTGTTTTTTTTTGTTCTGTGATTAAAATGTTCACATCCTAAAGGGGAAAACATTGGGCTTTTTTTAATTTGAGTTTCAAATATTTAATTTCCTTCCTATCAGTATGAAAATGTATTGCAACGGATACCATCTCATTGGATTTATTGACACTGAGAGGATTAGCATCCAAAAACGTGAAACAATCAAATTTAAAGTTCTGCATATTGGGTCTGAAATGTTGCTTTTTCTGATGGTTCGTTGCCTTCGCTGTCAGCTATCAAACGGTAGAGAATCATGGAGCAAACGGCAGACAAATTAGTGCAACACTTTTGCTGCTTCTCTTCAAGCGTAAATAAGAATACAATTGTGGAAAGCAGCGTTTTAAAAAAAGATATCCGGTTTTATTTTTAAGACTTGGATGAGAACGATAACCACAGTGCAAAGATTCATGTCTGAATCAACAATTTAAAGAGGTATTTAGAGGTTGCTTTAACTGGAGTTCTTTCACTTAAGAGGTTATAATCAGTCATAAGTTTGCTGGCGTTAAACAACTTCACTAAAATGAAGACGACTAGTTTCAAAGGATTCTGGTAGCAGTGGCGAGGTCAAGACAAAAGTGGACTTGAAACTGCTTCACTCTCTAAAATGTGGAGCCATGCAAACTGTATTTTATTTGCTTTAATATGCTGCTAGGTTTGCAAAAGAAAGTTACTTACACAAGATTATATGTGCCGATGAAACCAAATAATATTTACATAGACTGTGTTAGAAACAAAAAAAACTTTTTATTTCACTGCCGGCAAAACATGTTGCCACATACTTAACATTCGCGTTGAGGTTTGTAGGTTTTTATGTTGCTTTTGAAGTTATGGCCTCTTCCGTTCTGAGTGGCCTTCCAGCCAATGTTGGGTCTGAAAACTTTAACAAGAACATTTGGGTGAATGCGGCTTTATTCACGATGAACCAAACTTTTGGACATGTTGGTTTATTGTGTTGAAAACCTCTGCAGCCGTGCCTCCACATTACTCTTATGTGGGCAAATGGAAATAATAGTTTTAATCCTACTTGACCGAAAACATGACATTTTTGTGCGTTTTAATGATAGAAAGTGAGAACGGAGGGTCAATGTCTTTTTAAAATGTGAACGTAAACATCTTGTTTCCACTATATATCTGTTAGTTATTCATGATTCATTTGGAAGTAAATAGGATTTTTCTGTGTTCTTTCAGCTGATTGGACTGAATTCTGCCTTTTGCAAATTTTAACCCCTGCACTGTAAAAAAAATATATTTTCCAACTCAACTTGACTGAGTCTAGTTCCCTTGTTGGGTTGACTCAGTTAAGTTGTATCAACTTAAACTGTCACTTAACAAAAGCTGTTGGTATACGTTGACTTAACTGTCTTTAGCAAGTATATTAAACTAAAACTGATTAGTTAAGAGAAATTAAAAAATAAAAAATAAAAACTTGCTCCAATTTATTCAGCCAAGTCTTTATTGTATTTCATGAAGTTGATTTAACATGAAAATTTACATTTTTGTAAATTAAATTAAATTAAAGTCAACTTTAAGATGTAGGTTTTATTACAAATCATGCTTGTGACTGCAAAGGAGGAACACAAAGTCGTGTGGACATTATTTTAGTCAAGTCAGTCTCTGCCTAAATGCTAATTAATCCTCATTATTACATAATAACTGACAAGTTATGCATCCAAATATGAAGTCCATGGTCAGTCTTGTTACTGGTGTTTTCTGAGTCAGAAATGAGTTTTTTTCCCCACTGAACTTGCAGCTCATGACGGACCCTAGATGTCGTGTCGGAGTGCAGGAGAACAGCCGGGCACATTCTGAGGAGGGGGCATCTACCAACCGCATCCGCCAAAATAAGAGCGCTGCGACTGGCATCCTGTCAGATTTAGTTTTGAGAGTTTATCTAACGCTGAGGTTTAGGGTGAGAGCTTGAAGCGATCTTTACAATCAAGTTTGTTTGAAATGCTGGGTGTGTGTGTGTTTTTTTTCCTTTCTTCTTCAAATTAAGACATGTAATTATGTTTTTAGAAGAAATCTTTAGGTGAGATTTTTGGTGTCGTTTCTTCTTTAAGTGGGGCATCGATCAAAACACGCTCGTCTTTTCATCACAGCTCTTCTTCCCTCATTTCATTTCATCTTTTTTTCCCCCTCATTTAATCCTTTTAGATCTTCCAGTAATTAATGGGGCAGCGCCGCAAAAAAGGAAAAAAGCAGCTTGTCTCACCGTCTGTTAACAAACGAGGGAAATCTAAATATGCGTCTCGCTTTCCCCCGTTGAGCGACGCGGCTCTTCCAAATTTAACCCCGCTTACGGCATCTCCGTCCCCAGCCGGGCTACAATGCTCCTTCTCTGATCACAATAAGACCAAACAATAACATCGCGAAGACTGTAAAACACACACTTGGACACGCAAACAATACGCCATTGACCGGCCGCTTTGTTTCCTAGAACAAACACTCGGGGAGAATTGTAAGTGAATTCAGAGCGAAAAATGGAAGCGAGTATACACACACACACACACACACAGAGAGAGAAAAGGTGGGGGGTGAGAAAGACTCAGGATTTGTCCCGGACTCTGCCAAATTGGTCCATTCACACACTTTGTGGTATTTCCTCCCGTTGAGGCCTGAGCCGTGTCCTAATGGCCTCTGTTTATCTCGCGTGGCTTTTTATTTTGCGGCAGAATGGAGAGCGATGGCGGCTGTTGATAGGGCTTCAGATTTATTCAGCGAAATAGATGAGAAGATACGAAAAGGAAGAAGAAGAAGTTGTGAACGGATGGCATTTACTGTACACGCTCTGGGAGAACAGATTTCCCACTTTTCGTAGAAGTTGTTGACCTCCTTTATTGTTGTCAGGCCTCCCGCCCCGCCATAAAAAAACAACAAAAAAAAAACATGCAGCGAAGAGAGCAGAAACCGCCGCTGCTCTGACCTTGAATACTCATGTAGGAAATCAATGGAAATGTTCCATTAAGAATGATTGATGCATGTCATTGGCCGCTGCCGCTCGGCCTCAAGTGATTGAAGAAAATGGGTTTTTTTCCCCCACTTTAAAGCTCAACAAGACTCAAAAATCTTTATTTGATTTCTCAAATCTCTTTTTTACTACTGTGCATGTCTTCAGTTGGGGACAAGTGTGTGTGTGTGTGTGTGTGTGTATAAACTTTCCCTGAGTGGCGTAAGCGTGCTCTGACCGGCCTTTCGTGCTCACTCCTTCGCAGGCGTTCTGATTGTGTGCAAATAAGACACATTTCTGCATCCTAAATGCTCCTCACCTGCGTAACCTGTGTGTCGTTTGTGTTTCTCGTCGTCGTGGGACACCTCTGAGATCCCTGACAGATTTACAGCGATCAGTTCATCACATGTTCCGGCTCTCTTCATCCATCCCTCTTGTTCTTCCCCCCCACCCTGCCTTTGTCGATTGGATTCGTCTCGGCCCTCTGCTGGCTTTAAAGACAAGGAAATCCTAATTGAATTGCTTTGCAACTCCACTAGTCGCTGTATTAATAGACAACTTGACATCAATCACCCAGCCTTTTTGTGTCTTCATTTGTGTGTGTGTGTTTTATTTTTTCTATCTGTGGTTAAAAGCCTTTCCATTGATCCGGTACGAAGCAGCTGTGATGTAGCGCTCCGTCCCTGGACATCATTTCTGCTCACTCATGCTTTCCTCTATGTGGGTGTTGTTGACCACGCAACATGTTTCCCACAGTTCTCTAGTTTTATATCTTCTGATATCCTTCCCGGCAACACTGACATCCACGTTTACAACGGACGTGCTATTACATTTGCTTTAAACTAAACATCGCTTTGAAAGAGCTGATTAGTCAAATGTTAGGTGACCGTTTGTCTGCTGAACACTTTAAGCTATTTGTCCCAAAATAACTTGTATCCGTTGTGTTTGCCGATAAAGAGCAACTTGGAGCGTCTTGATTCAGGACCTAATGAGATCTGAGCACCAACAACTTTCTTTCATGGGACTTTTTGATAAATTATAAATGGCAATGTTTCATTTTTAGTCTGTGTTAGATGTGGTTTTATGTTTTTTCAGTGTAAACATGAATCATTTCAGTTTTAACCTTTGTGGGGTGAACTTAACGTTGGTTCGTGAAAAGCAGGAACCTGCGCCGCCGCCGCCTCCTGCCCACATTTTAGAGATGAATCCTTGACCGCTGCACCTCAGATGTTCGGAGAGTGGTCGAGAGGAACAGGCAGGCCGGAAAGTTTGGGTCAACGCACGTATCGTCAAGGTAAGATGCTGTTCAGCTCAACTCAATGATCTTTAGTTTGATTTTTGTTAATGGTTCCTGCACATTAGATCATTTTACTCTTGTTTGAGCTCATGATCACTTTTTGGAGTTACAACTTAAAACTTCTCTGTTGTTCTTTTTAAGATTTTATGTGACAAACCAACACCAAGTAGTGAATAATTGTGAAGCGGAAGAAAAAAGCGGCATAATTTTCCACCCTAAAAACATTTCATTGATGATTAAATGGTTTAGTCAAAGTTCAGAGCTAAATCCAATTGAGAATTTGTGACATGACTTAAACATTTATATGTGTTATTAACTGTTCTATTGCTTAAAAGCTTTCTTGTTTTCACTAGAACAATATTTTAGTTTGAGGTGTTTAGATTCGTGGTCTCCAGCCACAGACTCCTGAAAAGTGTTGACCATAATCATCGGCTGACTCTGTGGGCTAGTTTGAAGTAAATTCGTTTGATTTTCAAATGTCTGCCGTGATTCAAATGTGACTTGGTCAACACGTATTTGTGTCATCGTGTCGCCCGAATCTCCAACTGGAAATACGGTTGCTTCAGATATTCAGCGTGAAAGAACTCGTCCCGTTTTGAGCGTTCTGCAGATTAATTATCGGGCTTTAAAGTCCAAGCATGCGCCTAGGATCATCAAAGAAAAGTGACCCTCTTTGATGAGGATCAATGGTCCAGAAAACATGCACACACTCCTCACATGCAAGGACAGGCTAAAATGAACCTAATTGTTGTCCCCGTCTCAAAAAAAAAACACATTTTCCAATGACTGTTTTTTTTTTTTTTTTTTTTTTTTT